TCAAAAAAATATAGAACAAAACTCAGTAGATGACAATAAGTTACAGGAAGAGATACAAAAAGAGAAAACGAGCACACATGAAAATATAGATATCAAACATGAACTAAATAAGATATATATAATTGGGGGACAACAGTGTCGCGGAATGGCATCAGCACTATACCGCTCTAGAAAATTCAGTAAATACGAAAATTACAAAATAAGTTCTTTTATCAAGCCTAATGCACGTTGCGAAGATATATTAAAAACCACTGAGACATTAAATGCTAATAAAAATGATAAAATTATTGTTAACATTGGAGAGTGTGATACTAATCCCAGTAAATTGATTGCGGAATTAAGTTACTTCCTAAAAGTCCATAATAAGCCAACTGTAATTGTACTGGGCATAAAAAATAATATACATTTAAATGAAAATAAATTAAATGAATTCATAAATATGTGTTGCAAGAATTTTGATAATGTATTTTTTTTGGATTTATATGACATCAATTATTATGATAGAAATTTTATGTATAAAGTATGTTATAAATTAAATTTATTGATTGACACTATATATTATGAAAACATTTTTTTGAGTTATAATAAACTGAAAGTAAAAATAAACAGTAAGTCACCTAACATTGAAAGAAACAAAAAATATGACATGTGTAATAATAATAATTACAACTCATGTATAAAGAAAACAGAAAATAATGACAATGCAAGCAAAATACGTGTTAAATTAATTACTAATTATTATATACCAAAGCATAATTCAAGCATAACATCGCACCGTATTGAAAAGAATATTTTTCGTGAATAACAACAGCAAGTCCTTTACTGTCTTTCATCAAAACATTGCTGGAATACTTACCAAAAAAGAACTAATAGAAATAACATTAGTAGAATTATCAGAAAAAAATAAAGAGTTCGATATATTATGTTTTAGTGAAACGTTTATTAAACAAGGTAGTGAAGGTAATATAAATATTGCAGGATATCGTCTTCAAACGTCATATTCGAGAAGCCATCAAAAAAGAGGTGGAGTCTGTATATTGTGTTCTTGTCATATTTCGACACAAGAATTAACTTTTTTGAAAGAGTTTTGTGAGGATTATGTTTTTGAGTGTTGCGGAATAGAGATCTCGCATATAAAATGTATTGTGATATGCATCTATAGAACTCCAACATCAAATGTTACAATATTCCTTAAAAAATTTGAACAGTTATTAGAAAAACTGAAACACAAAACAAAATACAAAATAATTGTAACTGGTGACTTAAATATAGACACTTTAAAAAATTCAAATGACACAATTGAATTAAAAAGAATTGCAGCAAATTACAATTTTAAATTACACATATCTAATCCTACACGAAAAAAGGCATGTTTAGATCAGATACTCAGTAATATATCTGAAGGTAAAAGTGAAGTGCATAATTTAGGATTATCAGATCATGAGACTGCACAATCGCTTACGATTGACGTAATAAATAAAGTTGAAATGCCTAAATTCTGGTATTATAAGAAAAGGGATTACAGTCCAGAAAACATTTCCAAATTTATCGAGTGCCTACTTAGTCTATCGTGGACAAATGTCTATGAAGAAACCGACATGGAAATTGCATTTGAAAATTTCTATGATACTTTCAAAATGTTTTACTACTTATGTTTTCCCATAATAAAAATTAAAGTCAAGCCACAGAAAAAATATACAAACTGGCTAACAAGAGGTTTGAAAAATTCTGTAATTATTAAAAGAAAATTACGCTTTACATATTATAAAAACGCAAACAATAATACAAAAATGAAATATCAGAAATATTCAAAACTTCTGAAACGATGTATTAACCATGCTCAAAAATTAACTAATATGAAATATATTGAAAAATCTAATAATGTATGTAAAACTACATGGGACATAATAAAAAATAGGATGGACAAAAATCCTGCTATTAATAATATTGACAAACTTATAATCAATGATGACATAATTGAAAATCCCACTGACATTGCAAACGCATTTAATAACTATTATATTGACATGATAAATTCGGACACAACTAACAATGATGATATTACAAATATGCAATCAAACCATGTTAGTATGTTTTTATGCCCTACAGATGAGTCTGAAGTTATTAAAATCATTCAATCTCTGAAATCCACGAAATCGACCGGTTGCGATGAAATTCAGATAATGATATTAAAGGCATGTAGGAGAGAGATTGCACCAGTGTTGAACTATTTAATTAACCTTTCATTTAGTACGGGAATTTTCCCAGAAGCCTTAAAAATTTCTATTGTACGACCGCTACCAAAAAAAGGAAATATCCATGAAGTAGGGAATCACAGGCCAATATCTCTCTTACCGAATTTGTCGAAAATATTTGAGAGAATAATGTTTAATCGATTGCTGAAATTTCTGGATAAATATAAATTGATCAAATCGGAACAAAATGGGTTTCAAAAAGGTAAATCAACAACATCAGCAGCCTTTTCTCTCATGGACAACATTTTGTCTTGTTTGGACAAACGAATCTATGTCACAGCGGTCTTTTTTGATATGAGTAAGGCCTTTGACTCAGTATCCCACAAAAAATTAGTCCATAAATGCTACATGTATGGAATAAGAGGTTTGGTCAATAAATGGATAAACAGTTATCTATCCAATAGAAAACAATATGTAGAAATATCAAAACTTGACTCAAGCATGGAAATTAGCAGGTACAAATCATCCATAAAAGTCAACAAAAATGGCGTACCACAAGGTAGTATTCTAGGACCCTTGTTATTCCTGCTTTACATTAACGATTTGCCCCATGTTACACAGTATAACTGTACACTGTTTGCTGATGACGTGTCCGTTGTGATACCATGCAATGATACTGAAACATATAATAATGAAATAAATGGAACAATAAGTAAAATAATAAAATGGCTAAAGAGTAATAACTTAAACATTAACTATAATAAAACTACATATATTCAATTTATTAATAAAAACGGGACAAAACAACCACTGAATGTAACTTTTGCAGGCAATATAATTAAAGAAAGTTCACAAACAACTTTTTTAGGTGTCTCATTGGATGATAAATGTTCCTGGGCTGATCACATTCATAAACTATGCAATAAAGTAAATTCATTCGCGTATGCTCTCTGGCGACTAAGAAGGATTAGCAATAAAGAAACAGCTTTACAGGCATACCATGGTTATGTCAGCTCTATTTTGAGATATGCCATACTTCTGTGGGGTAACTCGTATTATGCAAGCCGTGCCCTTATATCACAGAAACAATGCATCAGGGCAATCTGTAACGTTGACTCACGTACATCTTGTCGATCATTATTCAAGGAGCTAAATGTACTTACTGTCCCATGTAAATATATATATGAGGTATGCATATTCGCAAGAACACATTTACATTTATTTAAAAAGAAAAGTGATCTCTGTAATTTTAACACAAGGAATCCTCAAAACTTAGTACTACCTTATAAAACTACAACTTTGTATAGCAGAAATGCCTACTGTATGACAATAAGCATTTATAATAAATTAACGGACGAAATAAAAACACTACCCTTGAATATATTTAAATAGAAACTGAAAAGATGGCTGATAGAAAAATGCTTCTACTCGGTTAATGAATATTTTGAATATTTTAAAGCTTAAATATGTGACTCAATTAATGTAATTTGTAATTTGTCAAATGATTGTAATTTGTAATCTGTATAATTTATTATTAATACTGACATATATTTAATATGACGATTTCAGTAAAATAGTATTAGCATAGTACAGTGGAACAATTAAATAATTTTGTACGCCAGATTCTGGTGAAAAATGTGATCAATATTTAAATATTATATTCCATCTTTTATACCATTTTTCAAACAAAATAAAGTTATTTGTATTTGTATTTGTATTTGTATTTGTATTTTTTTCACTAAACTTATTACTTTATATCACAAATACATATATGTTTTATTACTGCATCCTGCTATTTACAACAGTATTATATATATTTTTTTTGTTCTATTTCAATTGTTTATCCATTTTTTTTTTAAAAACTACAATTGTCAATTTCAATCAAAAATTATTTACATTCAACCACATTCTTTTTTTAAATAAACTCACATTTAATAGTTTTAATTCATTCGATATCGTATTATATTGGAATTTATTTCGATTTAACCAATTAATCTATCAACTCATATTTAATTGATTAATCGATTTTTTTACATCAGCAGACTGTCTTGTTGTCTGGTTATGTATTAATTTAATTACATTTCCATTTATCATCAGGTGAGCCGTATGCTCGTTTGCCCCCTGTGTTGTGAATAAAAAAAATTATTTCTATTGAAACAGAGTATAAAATATGACGTAATTAATGGACAGCCCTTAAACGTATAGTTACCATATTCCACTTTAAGCAGCCATCGCTACTTGCAGAGCTCTCGCGACACTCGGTCGGTACTCGGCAACACTCGGCGATACTCGGCGTCACTCGACACCGAGTGAAGTGGCCATTAGGGTTTTATGTATTGTACGCTATGAGTTATAACGCGTTTGTTTTTTAACGGATCTGATTCAGTTTTCACATATGGAAACATTTTGTGTTTTTATTTTGTTTTTCTCGTGTTTTTTTTTTTAACATCAAGTATAGTTTTTTACAATGTGTTCAAGACCAGACATTTCAATAAATTATGATAAAACTAATATTTTTCAGACTTGCAACATTAGAAGACCATAGACCTTTCAACGTTTAGACATCAAATTTTAAATTTTCTTAACGAATAATCTTCGCATTTTGTATCATCTAATTTTACTATTTAAACTGAGTCACGGATAACGCATTTCATTTTACTAAGAATTTCTCAACTTCAAACGCAAATACACATAATTTTTTTTATTCCTTATTCTTGTTTTAAGAGGGACGCTTATCCCTCGATCACTCCCTCGATCGCAATTACATTACTATTTATTAATATTTAATTTTATATTTGTTCACAGATTTCAATAAACAATTCTGGAGTTTTGGAACTGAAGGTACGAAGAAGATGAAGTGAAAGTGCAGTGAAAAAATTAATAATTTGTTTAAAAGAAAATGTTAACGACTTCTGCCCAGAGGCTAGAAGTAACAGTGATATAAGTGTAAATAAAAAAACACACAAATTCAATTAAACTGTCAATTCTACTAGAATCAAGTGTCGCTTAATAATTTCCCAGTATAAATAACGGATAAAGAATTTTCTAATATTATTAAAAAATTGTGCAGTGAAGTGTGGACAAGGAAACAACGAAAATAAATTATTGTATATAAAATAAAAATTAGTTCAACAGTTTGCGACCTCTGAAATTAAATGCTCATCGAGCAACTGTGAAAGTGAAGTGAAGTGATTGTGGTTAACGGTTGACGACCCCTGTCGACGAGTGATGACCTCATAGTGGCGGGCCAGTGGCTGTCAACATGTGCACGTGACTGGCATTGATGGTTTTGCCACGGTGGCCGATGAGGGCGCGCGGCCCGACTGGCCGGCAGGTCAATGACATCGCCGGCACTGATCATGCTGTCTTTGGCGTTAGGTGAGCCACCCCTGACTTTCTTTTCACAAGCTTGCCTTTTAACTTGCAGTGTTTTTAGATCATTAGATCAAATCTTTTATATGTCAAACCTTCTTCTTCTTTCGAAACAATAGGCAACCTAATTAAATTTATACCAGAATTTATCAACTTCCAAAGCACGATTGGTTGTGCTATGAAGCACGAAAAGCAGGATAGGAGATGAGGCATGGTTTGTGACAGCGCTCCAAAGTCTCACTGTATATATTTGTATATATATATAATAAAAATAAAACTCAATAATATAAGAATATAATATTTTCAAAATGGCCGCCGTCACAACATGGCGTATGGTATATATTTCGTAAACTTGTTAATATGTATTATTTAAATGAGAGAAACGTATAAGTAAGTAATATAGATTAAAGGGCACTAGGTAACGATAAAATAAATAATATCCTTCAAAATGGCCGTAGCAACAAGATGGCGGGTTGTATTATAAACACTTGTTTTTAAGCAGACCTGTTTAGGACGTCAAAATTGTTATAAGTTTATATTTTGATTAAAGTAACGTGTAGATGTATATTCTCTAATAATACTACAAAGAAATAGTGCCTAATATCATCATGTTTCAAATTACATCATTTTACTTTAAGGCCAAAATGTTTACGCCATTATCAGATTTATTCTATGTTACAATATTAGTTTTAACCCGTGACTTCGTCTGCGTAACTAGGATATCTAGATAGACTAAGATAAGTAACCAATATATCTTTCCAAAGCACCTAGTATCCCAAATTACATGCCAATTGGTTGAGCTGGTCACACATATCATTTCAGCCATTATCCGTCCACTGCTGGACATAAGCCTCCCTCATAGACTGTCATAGAAAACGGTCCTGAGCAACCTGCATCCACTGACTCCCTGCAACGCATTTCAGGTCGTCACTCCATCTAGTGGGGGGTCGTCCTACACAGCGTTTACCCGTACGTGGTCGCCACTCAAGAACCTTTCTTCCCCATCGGTTGTCGGTTCTTCGAGGTCACATATATGTTTCATATATAAATATTAAAATCGGTTTGTTTGTTACATATTATATATATCATATAAAATATTAAAAAGAAAAATACAGATTTTTTTAAACGTAAACAACAATTAAGTAGATATCAAGCAAAAATACTAAACGATTGTTTCTCTGGTTATTTGATTAGAATTATTTTGTTTAATTCCGCTAATATTAGTATGTGTGTGACTGCCAACACTCGAAGATTGACCACCACTATTACTACCACAAGTAACACAAACTTCCATATTAGCCATCAGTTTTCGACCGCTTCAATCTTGTCCACGCGCGTTTTGTGATACATATTTCACCTCAACGAAGTATCTTCAGGCTTTAGCGGTGGTCAAACGTCAAGTGTTGGCAGTCACATGCATACTAATATTAGCGGAATTAAACAAAATAATTCTGATCAAATAACCAGTGGTATGGAATTCCGCAATATAAGACCTAGTTCAGTAAAATATTTGTTTCCCCTGACTAACCCCAAAAATTTGAAAATTTTCCAAAGTTGTAGGCGAAATATAAGAAATTTTATTAAATTATTTTCTTGAAAATAAAATAGTTTCTCTATTATTTCGTTTGTTACATTGCGTCAAACATCATACGTTCAAAAATGACATCACAATTGAGTTTAAAAGTGGAACGAATTTGTTTTTACTTCTAGCTTCAATTTGCATAAAGTGCGGATATGAATTTTTAAACGAAGGCAACACAAAGAAATCTGATGTTTGACAGTTATTTAGCAATTTTCATAAGTCATTTCCGTAAGCAACGTCAATCATAATGACATTGATGTATCGCCATATTCGAGTTTGAACTGCAATTATTTCATTTATTTTGTGCCAGAAAATAAAGCAAAATTGTAATTTAAATTCAAATATTTAAATATTTTGTATTATAATCTTTATAATGTTTTTTTTTATACCATTCAGGTGGCAAACAAGCATACGGCCCACCTGATGGTAAGCGGTTACCGTAGCCTATGAACTCCTGCAATACCAGAGGTATTACGCGCGCGTTGCCAACCCTGAAGAAACCTCTTTACCCCCCTTTTGAAGAACCCCATGCTGTAGTCTCTTGGGAAAACCTCGGCAGGGAGCTCATTCCATAACCTGAGTGTTCGTGGGAGAAAGCATCTCTGAAACCGCGTTGTACGCGACCATTTAGGCTGTAAGGTATGAGGGTGAACTCCCTGCCGATGGCGAGCCGTACGATGATAGAAAGTGGCCGTAGGCATCATATTGAATAATTCCTCTGAGCACAATCTGTTGTATAAGCGGTAGAACACGCAGAGTGAGGCAAAATCTTTCCTAAGACTTAAGGGTTCGATACCGTTTGCATTAAACGAGCCTAAACATTTGACAATTACAATCATCATCATCATCATATAGCCGGTAACTCTTCACTGATGAACTTATAGATATTAAGATACTCTTTATTTCCTCCAAAAGATTGCAACAGTAAACTTTAGATAAATAAAACTTATGTTCAGGCTTATGCCTCCCCCTTGGAGGGTTTTGCCAGTAATTGCAACGGTTGGCAAGCTAACTGGCAACCGCAGTTAGACTTTAGAGATGTTTTAAGAGGGACGCTGCTGTCCATTCTTCGCCTTCCCCTAGTCCCCTTCTACGCACGATGAAAAAATAAATTGAAGTCCACAGACCATTTTAAAGACGAACAAAAATTTGCAATTTTTTTTTCATTTTTGTTTCGGATGATTACTTGAGAACTTTCCACACTAGACAAAACAGTTTAAACATGAAAACTAGATACTCAGAGCTAGAATTTCCTTTTTTTTTTTTAGATTTTCTGTACAACTATTTCTCTCCAAGTTATCCCTTGTTGAAAATCACCCAAGAATTTAGATTTTTTTTTAATAAGTATAACTCTATAGAAAAACTTATTTAGTCAAGAGAATTTATCCCTCAATTTAAATATAAAACGAAATGTCTAGACTATGTATATAAATAGGAGTATATAATTTTATCTCCGTCCAAATATTGTCTGGCTGAATATTAATAATTTTTCGACTACATTAATTTTTCTAGACTTATTATTATAAAGGGGAAAGATTTGTTTCTTTTGACTAAATATACAATTATTTATTTACTATTTATTTGTTAAGTATATAAATCAAAATAACCGGTTATTTTAAATTAAATACTAAACTATTGATTTAATTTTGTTAAAATTTCTATAATATCAATCTATTGGTGCCATCTATTGAGTGAAATGGATAAAACGTCAACGGAGTTCAGTGAGACTTCGACGGTCTGCTATATATGCGGTGATAGACATGAACTTCACTCACTCGCTCTCTGTTATTAGCAAACGATTGATCATAATAATATTTCTTATAATAAATTCATATTTCAATCATTCGTGTTACAACCGTGAAGCAGTTGTGTTTGCATGGCTGTGTTTCGGTTTGAAGGGTGGGATATGGCGTGAATTTACTGGGCACAGAGGAATAACACCTGAGCCCTCAGAAATGGTAACGCATGAGGGGTATCATGGGCGAAACAGTATACTCTGTTATGTCCATGGTACTGCTCATGTCTATAGGCGACGGTTACAACTTTCCATCAGGTGGACCGTCAGCTTGTTTGCCATTCTAAGTTGTATAAAAAAAAATTCACAAAAGTAAATTTTTTTAATTCAAAAAATAAACGAGTTATTGAAGAGTTCCTGCACCCATAAATTTATACACACAAAAGGGAAAGAGACAAATACAATCTGTAAATATTTATTCACTTATTATAGTAAATGCTTTTAGATAAAAAAGAATTTTCAAAATCAATTTAGAACTGACGAAGTTATAAAGTAACGAACATAAAAAATACAATCAAATTGAGAACATTTTTTTTATCTTTAAAAAAAAAGTTGAAAACCGCAGTCGTAAAGCAAAAACGAGCAATAGTTTTTGTGCGACGCCTGAACAAACGTCTAGACAGACAAAATATATATATATATATAAATTAATGTCACTTTTCGTTGTAATTTAATAACTCGAGAACGGGCTCACCTATCCAAACCAAATGTTTAGGCTTTGTTTGGACTATTTAGTGGATGGTTTATGTGAAGTTTGCACAAAATCGGTCGAGCGGTTCTTCATTTATCACATTTTTTCTAACAAAAGAATTCGATAAATGGCGGATCATTTTGTTAATGGGGATTTTTGTGTCAAATTCAAACTTTTTTTAAGATAAGGATTGTGCTGTCAAATTGAAACTTTTTTCAGTGTTGACAGTTTTTTTTGTTTGAATAAAGGAATTTGATATTTTTTTTTTATTTTTTTTATTTCTCTTTATACGTAGCGACACATACCGGGCCGTTAGTTTCTAATAAAAAATATTGATTTGATCTCTAGTAACAGATCTTAGTAATCTCATTAGGACCTTTCATATTATTGTCATAACAATCTTTCATATTGAAACAAAAAACAATTTTATTGTTATTTTTAATTAAAATTAAATAGTCAGGGCATACGGCCAAAAGTTTGAGTGCCACTGGCCTATAAAATTATATGGCACACCCCTCTTTTCGGCATGGTTGGTCGCAGAAATTACAACACATCATAAAAATATGGGATCGTAGCCAGAAAAATTGCTAAGAGCTATTTGACCCGAATTTTTAAGTCACTTTTGTTATTTTATCGTTAACTAAAGATAATAGCAATAAATATCGTTAGATATATTACATAGAAAGAAAGAAAGAATAACTACGTGGAGGTCGACCTGATAAGATATATTTGTATATATCTAATATATACAAATATATCTTATTAGGTCTAGCAATATAACATTGATAACAATGCGACTAGTAGTCCATATTACTAACAATCCCTTCCCCCCACTCAATAGTTACATATTTGCCCCATCATTTATGTAGGTCCCACCATAAAATAGGCCACCCCTTCCTTTCCCGTGGGCGTCCCTCTTATAATATCACCAAAAGCCA